TCCTCTGCACCTCGAGCCATTTGTCACTCAGGAGGATTCTGCTTTGGAACTGGCATTACATGCTGGAAAACTGCCGTACCCCCCAGAGCAAGGTAAGGTGAGACCAAAGGCTTGGAGTGTCTGGGGAAAGCTTTCCCATCCTGACATTACACAGATGTGATGTGTGGTTTGTAAACTACTCCTGGGAGAGGATCCTGCCAAGTGTGCCAGTCTGTGCCCTGATCCCAGCTGATCATCGTGTGCCCTTTGGAAATGACTTACCTGGAGAGTAACCAAGGGAAGGGAAGTGTTTTGGGTTTGGAGCTCACTGTCAGTGCTGTACAGTACAGGGAGGATACATAACTGCTTCGATTGCTCTAAAACCAGCTGATAAACTCTGACTCCCTCAATGTCCTGTGGAAAGGACAGTTGTTATTCACAGTTGTGGTTCTGTTTTGCACAAACCCAGCGGAGGCGGGCGGGTGTGTGCTGGCAGCTAACGGGAGTTGTCCGTGCAGGAGACGAGGTGCCCGAGCTGGATAACATGGCTGATTACTGGCTGGGCTCCATCGCCAGAGCCACGATGCAGACGTACTGCGAGGTCATCCTGCAGATCCCGCAGCTCACGCCGCACTCCACCAAGCAGCTGGGCACGGACATCGGTGAGCAGGGGGCCCCGAGCCCCGCTGGTGTCACACACAGGTGCTCTGGCACCACACTGGGCTGAGGGGACTGTGCTGCAGGTTTCTGCTCTAACCATGGGCACGTCGGTCCCCGGCACGGGGAGGGCTCGCAGCTTGTCTCTTGCAGTGTTTTCTGTCACACCCCTCTGGGAGGGAAGGGGGATTTTCCGGTGGGTGCTCCTGCTGCTTCACTGCTTTGTCTGTCTGACTGTGGAAGTCCACGTCCTTCTGCACAGAGATTCCCCTGCAGGCCAGCCTTGGCAAGGAAGATCTGTATAGGATATTTTCCAGTGAGGCCCTGGTCTTCCCCTTCTCAGAGTGCCATGTTCTGCCAGTATGTGCCAGAAGGGGGTACACAGCCCGTGCCAAGTCTGTTGAGGCTGCTCCACTGGATTGCAGAGAAGGCACTGATTGATTTCTTCCATCCCCTTGATAACTGAAGTAGGGACGATCAGCTAAAGGCCTTGTAGAAGTAACTGTGGAGCACTTGAGCAGCATCCTTTTTTACTAACCCTACAGATCAGCTCTCCTGCCATGGCTGGCACTGCCCTGCTGCTCTGAGGGTGCTGCAGGCTAAAGTTACTTGGAACCTCAAGAGATTTTGAGCAGCAAAATTGGAGAGAGTTGGCACAGGCTCATCTCTGCCTTCTTCCGTACCACACAGAGTGACTGAAAGAGGGCTGGCAGAGGCTGCTGGGGAGGCCTTTGTGCAGGATGTGGAGGAGATGGGCTTTTCTTATCCAAGGCTGCTGAAAGGGCCACCAAGGAATCACTACAGCTATTGTAAATGCCAGTTAGTCTTTTCCTGTTGTAAATCAGGGATGCTGACTTCCCCCTGGCCAAGCCCAAAAATGAGGATACAGCCGGTATCTGCTCCTCAGCTCTCCAGAAGGTGTGCTTGGACATCAGTGAACTTAGCCTGAATCTTTTTTTTTTTTTTTTCTGGCACTGCTTCAAAACAAGCAAGTGGATGAGAGGCTGGCTGCTTAGCATTCTCCCTGCCATCCTCAGTTCCCCAGCTGCCTGTAAATCAGTGAGCTGGAACTGCCTCCTGCCTCCACAGACACTCACCTCGGCAGAGCTGCCCAGCTTCGGTGCCACCTCTTCGCCTTTGGCAGGGGGACTCTGATCCTCTTCCCATGACTGACCATCCCAAGGGTGTTGTGTGCAGGTACTGAAACACAGCAGAACGTGTCCCAGTCCCCTGCACAGAAGGGGCAGTGTCTGAACTCGTGCACAGGCAGCCAGAAACACCTCCCAGGCAGTGCCGTCAGACTCCAGCCTGTGCTGCTGCTGCCTGTGGGCGGGAGCTCTCGGTGACAGGATCCCCAGCGTCGTGGGGAACGAGGATATATTTCATTTCACTGTCTGTTACCTGTTAAATACACGCTTTTCCTTAATCCTGCAGATTACCTGATCAACGTGATGGATGCCCTCGGCCTGCAGCCCTCGCGGACGCTGCAGAGCATGGTGACCCTGCTGAAGGCCAGGCCGGAGGAGTTCCGCCAGGCTGCCAAGAGCCTGCCCCGCCGCCTGGCCGGCAGCATCGCTGCCATGAGGGGCCTGGAGGGATAGCTGTGCCCTCCCTCCTGCGAGCCCCTGCTCGAGGGCTCACCTCTTCAGACTGGTTTTTATTTCTGAAAATACCGCTGGAGAACAGGGGAGTTTATTTCAGACAACTGTTAATCAATGCCTTGGTCTAGGAAAAGCTCGTTCCATTTTTCCATCTTTAGAAATAAGGAAAGATGTCCTACAGCCAGATTTACCAAAAACTCTCTGAATGACTCTGAGTAGACTGAGCAGTGCTGGAAGTGTTCTGCCATATGCTGCAGAGTTTGTGCTTTGTGATGGCTTTTTCAGAGAATTTAAGCTGTTGTATCTGGAATGATGGGGCGGGTGCAGCACAGAGAGGCTGCCTGGGAGCTCTTCTGCCTGCAGGCACTGGCCATTGCCCAGGGCTGTTGTTATTACAAAGCCAAGAAGAGTCTCTTCAGTTGGTAGATGAGGCTTGATCAAGCTTGACCCTGAGAATAAAACCAGCTTTGCAGATTGTTCTTGGTGTCCTTTCTACTGAAAGGTATGAAGTTTGTAAGGAATTTAAGGAAAGTGGTGTTTTCCTGTAGAATTTATTAATGTTTCTTATATAGATGCGTATAAAACATCTCATCTAGCCTCGGTGTGCTCTCTTAGGAAACAAATGAACACAGAGAAGTCCCAAGATTGCAATGCCAGCCGAGTCTCCAGTGCCTGCACTGTTGTGCAGCAGGAAACCCCTTTGCTGAGCTGGGCTCTGCTCTGCCGTGGGTCAGGCTGGGGAAAGCCCAGCTGGAACAGAGCTGGAGCCGAGCACCTGAGCCACTTCCCACTTTTATGAGTTGTCAGACGCCTCCATAAACCAGCAGTGACTGGAATGGTGAGCTGTCCCTGTTCTGCAGAGAACATTCTGTTCCATTTACCCTTGATTTGAGGAGGGTGAATCTCGCCAGCCATGCCTCTCCCACCCTTCCCCTGCCCCATCACTGCCAGGGAGGGTTTCTGGGGCTGTTCCTTGCCTGCTGCTGTTGCCTCTCACAGGACAGGTGGCCCAGGGCAGGCACTTGGCTGGGGATGAAGGTGTGAGGAGCTGAAGGAGCAGCCTGGGACCTGCTGCCCATCCCAGGGTCCTGTTGTCTGTTGGTGAGAATGCAGGAGGAGATGCCCAGGTTCTTGCTCTCAGCATTCCCCATGTTTTAAGCAAAGTGCTCTGTTGAGTTTTTTGGAGGGAGTGCTGGTTTTTGTCAAGGATGACACTGTGTACACCAAGCACTGAATCAGGAGGGGAGAGTGTTGGGTCCTTGTTCCCCACTCAACTGCGATGTCAGATCTAGTACCATCACACTGGCATCCTTTGGCAAAGGAGGCTGTGCTGCAGGTTTGTGGGGGAGGCAGGGAAACAACCCTTTAGGGAGACAGAAAGCTGGATTCCTCTGTCTTCACAAGTGTCCTCACTGCCTTGTGTGCCCTGTCACCACTCGGGTTGGTTTGGGTGCTCGCTGAGCTCACGCTGTACCTGGGTCAGGTGGCTCATCCAGAGCAGTGTGTCTGGGGGCTGTTCATCCTTCTCCCTTTAACTGAGAACCAGCTGTGGAAGGAAGGGCTGGGGCAGTGTTTGGACGTGTTAAGGAGGTGCTCCCTGAACCTGGATTTGGTGAGTGTTGAACACAGGATTCCCGTGTGGGGCAGCATCAACCATGCTGGTGGCGCCTCAGCTGTCAGATCATACCCCAGTTCCTCTGTCCTGCTGGTGGTGGTCGTTAGCAACTGGACCCACCACTTGCAGTGCTGCTGGGGAAGCTGGAGGGACCCAGGGCCTGCTGTGCCCCAGAGCACCCTGTGCTCGGGGAGCTTCCCCTGCAGGAGGATCAGGGACCCCTCTGGCCGTGGCCACCCCGCGCTGGGCGCTGTGCCCAGAACATCGCGTTCTCGGCGCGTGATTGAGCCACATGATCCTGTTTCCTCTTGAACTTTTGCTGAAGTACTTCAGTAAGGCAGATCTTGGTGGGTCATGATGGGCTCCTGGGAGAGCTGGAGGCTGGGACTGGCCGTGGGCTGGGTGAGCTTGCTGCCCACTCAGCCCAGCCCCATGGGGACCACCAGAGCTCCCAGTGCCCTCACCTTGGGGCAAGCACAGTACGTTCCCCTCCTTGCAAACTGCTGCCATGAGCCTCTTGCCAGCACTGGACTGCCCCTGCTGCCAGCAGGGAAGTTAAAGGCAACTTTTAAATTGTTTTTTTTTATTGGAAAAGTGGTACTGTTAAACAGGCTGGCACTTCCTCCCCACCCCTGAATCTTTATGGAGTCTATCCTTGGCACACACTAACAGCTGTTCCCACCTGTGCCACGAGTGGCACAAACCCTGGGCAGCAACGCAATGGGGCACCTGCAAGCTCTAGCAGTGAGGGAATGGTTCAGCTTTCGCTGTTTCCATTGTAGTTATCTGGGGATGGAAATACTGGGACCTCAGAGGTCAAAAGTAGCTTTGGTCCCGTGCCAAGGGTCTGACCCTGGGTGTGGCACAGCTGCAGCAGACATTGTGCCGTGTCTCTACATCCAAGAGAGCTGGAGAGGGGGACGGAATGAGGTGGTCCTTAAGGTCCCTTCCAACCCAAACCCTTCTGTGGTTCTAAGGTCCACCAGGCCACGGCCTTGCAGTCACCGTCAGGATGTCCTGTCCTCTCCCCTCCACTGCTGCCACCACCCCACTCTGCTCAGCGGGAGCTGCTTCCCACCAACGTGGTAATGAGAAGTGGTGAATGATTTTACAGCAATACTGATGTAGCCAAGCTCTACACACTCAGCCAGAGGCTGATTCTGTGAGGTTTATTGCAGGGTTTATTAGGCAGAGCTTCCTCCCAGTGATTAGTCAAGGGGGAGGACAGCCAGGGCTTTTTAATTCCCTCCTAACTTTGGCAGAGAGTAGATGGTTGCTCAGTGGGTGACACACAGCGTGGCGATGGCAGCTGGCAGGAGGTGCCAGGGCACTCTGCTCACTCCGTCTCCACGTCACTGTCGGGACTGAGGACATCGAGGGGCTGCACACGCAGCGAGTCGTAGTTGGGGGGGGGAGTGCCAGGTTCGGGGGGCAGTGGTTCCTCTCTGGGCAGGGCACCCACGGCCTCGTGCTGGAAGCCCAGGTTGGTGTGAGCCTCCACCAGCTCCGACACCGTGGGAGGAGTGTCCGGGTACTGTGCCCGCACCCGCCTCTGCTTCAGCCCTTTGCACCAGCCGATCACGTTGATGATGGTGATCCACAGCGAGTCAATGATGATCTCCCCAAACTCGATGAGGCATAGCACTGAGCCACCCATCCAGAACCCAAACTGGCCTCCAAGGCTCGAGAGTAGCCAAACAATCTGTGGGAGAAGAGTGGAGTGAGCCAAGGTGGTGGAGCCCCATCCCTGATCCACCCCCAATCCATCACCCCGTGTGCTGGTGCCAAGGTGGGTGATGCCCCTGCCCCTGGGACCTGCCCACCATGTCCCCTGCCGCGCTGGTGCTGCCCTGCCAGGTTGTACTCCCCAGTGCTGGTGACTGGGATGGGAGGTGGAGGGGAGGAAGGGACTGAGGGCTGAGAGCTGACAGAGGCAGCTTTGTCCCCTTCATTACAGCAAATGTGTGAGACAGCAGCCCTGAGGGGTGTGACACACTGGTTGGTGAGGGGCATCTCTGGCCAGGGCTGATCAGCCCCAGGGAGATGAGCCCAGCCCATGTCCTGGCTGACTGGCCTCTGTGTCTGCCATGCCAGAAGGACAGGGACAGGCACTCACCGTCGTGGCAGCCGACTCCGAGATGGTACGGTAGTTGTATTCCTGGAAATAAATGTTCAGCTTGATAATCCCGTTCCTGTAAGGAACAAAAACCAGCTCAGTGAGGAGCTGGGCTGTGGAGGACCCATATCCCTGCTCCAGCCTGACCATGGGATGGACGGACACCGAGACATAAGTACGAAGGGATAAATGTTATGACATAGGAGCTGCCCTTAATGCTGATTTTACTTAGCGCGCTTGAGCTTTCCTGACGTGGTTTGTAGCTCTGAAGAGCAGAGGACATGCATGAAGTGCCTTTTGGATCTGCTTTCTGCATCTCCCAGGTGAACATGTGCCAAACCTTGTCTTCCCTCTGCTCTTGCACACACGTGCGCTGGCCCAGAGCCAAGGCTCGTGTCAGTCTGATGTTAACAGGCTCAGCAGAGAAGATAAAGTGCTTGTTCCTTTCACTCACCTGTCCAGAGTCACATTTGTTGACATATCCCTTTCATAAGACAGAATATGGAAAATCCAGTCCTAGAAAAACAAAATCTATTCAGAATGAGCAGAAGCATCCTGTGCTCCTGAAGAGCTGTGTCCTGTCCCACACAGCCCCAGCCCCACAAGCAGCTGAGGGGAGTGCTGTGGACCTGAGTGGGTGGGCTCTGCCACAGTGGGGAGGTGGGGGCTCCTGCCCTGTCCTGTGGGGAGCCCCCCCTGTGCCACACATGCACACGGTGTGGAAGATGCGTGCTCAGTCTTGGGCTGTCACAGGCACTTAAAGCAGAACCCCAGGGTGGAGGAGCTGCTGTGGGGAGGTCCCTCCTCCCACCTTGCACCTTGGTTTCTGCTGCTGGTTTGTGTGTGAAAAATGTGGAATTTAGCAAAGAGGTGCTGGGACCTGGATATCAGCCTGGACAATAGTGAGTGTCCAGCTGGCTGGGAACAGGTTAACCATGAGTGTCTCTTTCAAACCAAGGAATCAAAGTTACCTCAGAGGCTTCTGATGGCCAGTCTGCCATGGAGATGGTCATCTTGTACTGCGTGTCACTGGGAGGAGGAGGGAGAGCATTAGTACAGAGGTTTCCCCTTCCCTGAAATCCCTGGAACTTCAGTTCTCACAGAACAAACCAGCCTTGCAGAGTTTGCTGCCATTTTAGGAAGGTCAGGACTGATGGGAGCTGAAATGCAGGATCTCTCCACCTCCACGGTGGCCAGGTCAGGCTCAGGTACTCACTTGCATGTTTCCTTACAGGAGTCAATGCAGATCTGTCGTTGTTTTATGCTGGATCTCAGTGAGGAATAGCAATATGCTGTTTGGTGAAAACAAAATCAAAGTGCCTGTTTAGATAAGGACCTGCTTACTGGCTTATATCAGTTTCATTTATCAAAATAAATATTAGGTGTGACCCTGCTGCACGGATGTGCCATCTTCCCCTCCAACCTTCCTTTCCTTGAGAAACCTGAGCAAATCCCTCAGACAATTTAATAATAAATTAAAAATAAACCGTAACTCTCTGCAGACAGTTCCTATAGAGGTGTCTTGCTCGGGGTGGGTATTTTTGGCACAGCCTCAGCTGCTGCCAGCATGGAGCTGTGCCATCCCTGGGGAGCACCAGAGCCAGGGACAGTTTGTTTCGGGACTCAGACTCTTGGTGCACGGAGGCCAGCAGTGTTTTACCCTGTGGTTCTTCACTCTGGTGCCCAGGGGCTCCCTCAGACCACAGCCAGGACCAAGGTTTGGCCCCTTCTGCCCAGCACTGGCCCAGGCAGCCACAGGGACACTGTCTCAGGGAAAAGCTGCTGAGCAGCTGCGGTGACCACGGCAGCAGGTCCTGCAGCGCTGGTTGAGCTCTTACCCCAGCCCGGGTTATCCTCGTTATTGCAGTAATTCACCCCTTTGGGTAAAGGGAACATGTAGTGGCCACATCCACAGATCTCAACCATGTGGTTTTGGAAACAGGAGCGCAGGCAAGCCTGGAGAGGGAAGAGGAATGCTTAGGCACGGGCTGAGCCATCAGCACAGCGTGGTGGGAATTAATCATCCAAGACTGGAGGGGGATTCTGGATGAGGCAGCACAAAACAATAGCAAAGTCTATGAGAAGATAGTTAAATTTAACAGCTGCGGGTAGGACAAGCAGGGAATTCTGTGTGATAGGAAAGATCTACAGAGTTCAGAGCAGTCAGGGAGTGATGGAAGAGCCTGGTTTTGCTGAAAGGGCTCTGAGGTGACATTACGTGGACACAGAACTCCGACAGCGTTAGCACCTCGAGGGAATAATGCAATCCTTCTGAGTGTTTGCTTAAACCTTACACAAGCATCTTCAGAAGCTGGGTAAAGTGGTCCAGTTGTTATATTATATAAAGGCAGAAATATAAACCCACTGCCAGCCCATAGCCCTCCCAGTCTCGGGGGGAGCATTTGTGAATCACCCCAAAGGTGAGCATTTCCCTTATTGCTGGATTGTACCCTCCAGGGCTGCTTCTCCCTCTGGTACAGCCTGTTAAAAATTTAATCTGTGCTTAGTGTTTGCACTCTAATTTTCTACAGTTTCAAGGTTTACAAATACTCAACTTTCTCATCCCAATTACCCAGCGTGCTAGCCAAAGATTTAACTGCTTTCATGATTTTTCCTAAACACTTTTGTTTGGTTTAAAAAGGTGTTTTACCTGTATGGAGTAGGAGGTGTTGTACTGGTTGTAGAGGTTTTTGACAGGCACATCAGAGCCATTCATGGTGCAGTCGCTGTAGGGATAGCCCATCCGCTCCAGCTCATCCTGGAAGGAAACCCAAACAGAAAACTTTGGCTATTTGGCAGCTCCTCCCCAGGGCCCTGTGACTGTTTTCCAGAGACTCTGTAATTCCTGTGTTCCCTGCTGGCTCTAGCAAAAGTGAGAGTCAGCAGCGTCAGAGCTGAAGAGGCTGCAGCCCCTCCCCCAGGCAGATCCAGGCAGGTGTTCAGGGGCTGGCAAAGCACCTTCTGACACGCCAGAGGAAGAGCAGCAATGACCTGAACCCGTCACTCTGGGCTCAATACAGCACTTTGCCAGGACAGTTACATAAAAGCCTCCATAAACTGCCCCAGCCCCTGGCTGGTGCACACCTTGACTCCTTTGGTTTGAGCCAGTTCAGCCAAGACTCAAAGCAAACTTGGTTTTAGTCCCATCAGATAACATTATTCTCAGACAATCTGCTCCCCAGGAATGCCACACATACCACCAGCACTCCGATGGAGGTTTCTGTCCCGGCCATGGCGTAGATGCCCTGATCCTTGAGGAAGGGGAAGCTCTTCTGTTGGTGCAGCATGAGCCTGGCCCCGGCAGCAGAGGACAGGTAGGGGATGTAGTCCTGCTGACTGATGTCCAGAATCAGCTTCAACCCTGGGACACCAGACAAAACACTTAGAACAGGAATTGTATTGGAAGGCAAGGCTTTAGGGGGGAAAAAAGTCTGTTTTCTCCTCCCTGTTCCTTGGGGAAAGGTTGGGATCTGGCTGCCATGGCAGCCTGACCTGTGCAGGAATGGTGAATGTCCAGAACAGGAATAGCTGGGAATAGTCAGGTGTTGCCTCAGATATTTCAGCTATCCACTTTCAGCTATTGCACTTCTGCTGTGTGTAACCTTTGTGGTCACTTTATTTCTGTGTGCCACATTTCCCTCTCAGGAATTATCCCCTTCTGTAAAGCCCCTGCTCCTTGTTGCAGTGCTCCAGTGACACAGGAATGATAAATCTGTCCTGAGTGACAGAAATGGGTACCAAGAGACAGACAAAGACCCCCCATTTCTGCCTCTCCAGCCCCCTCCTCTGCTGCAGAGTGCTCCCTTACCAAACTCAGCTCCAGGGTTGGAAGAATTCAAAGCCTCTTCATCCATGCCCCAGTTAAAGATGTAGCAGTTACCGTGGTCTGGGTGGTAGATTTGGGTGAAATTCCTGGAAGAATCATACACATAAAACTGTGACCCTTGGGAGGACTAAAGGGGTGTGAGATAACGCAGCTGTGCTGGGGTTCACCTCCCACTGCCTCATTTGCTGAACAGGCACTGCAGCTGATATCATGTCAATCAATCTGCTGTTGTAAAAAAGGCAAAGCAAGGTAGGTGTGTGTGCTGGGACACAGCCCTGGGGACAGTGCTCAGTGGGACGAGGAGGAACAGTCACACAGATGAGAGATATGATTGCTCAGTCTGAGCTGGTGGTACAGCTCGTGCTTTGATAACAATTCTCTGTTGCCCTTGTTGCAGAAGGAGCATTGCAGAGGGGCCAGGGCTCCCCACAGCCTGTGGTGCTGCTGTGTGCTCCCCTTTCTTAACACTGGAAATAGGAATTTGGGGTTCACAGGAAACAAAGATGTCTAAAATGCATTAAGTAAAAAGGTTGTAACTGAGGCCTGTGCTGCTCTGATGGACATGCTGACTCAACTATTAGTCTTGACATGTCATGAACGAAGCAGCCCATCCAAAACTCAAACTCAAGCCAGCGCTGTCCCAAAGTAACCCATTTCAGTCAGGATCACCCTGGGAAGTGTTTTTAGAGCTGAGGACCAGCACCAATCTTGTTATTAGTTGATCTCTCCCTTAAAAAGACACCCATCCCCTTGCTGTTGCACTGGAGGTCTGTTCATTCCTGCTGGCACGGAAAGGGGCAGGAACTCAGTGTGCACCTACTTGTAGTTGCAGGGCTCAGCCCCATAGAGACACGCCAGGATCATGTCCTCTGCCTGGTAGCCCATCCTGATCCTGTCATGCAGCGGGACCTTGGAGAGGATGGAGGTGGATTGCAGGATGTACCACTCGGTCACCGCCTGCGCCGCGCTGGTGAAGTTCCGGTACGTGCAGTTGTTGGAGCCCTCGTGGCTGCACTGGGGACACGGGGCAGGCAGCTCTGAGTCCCTGTGGGGATGGTGGGGGGACCCACGGCGTGACCCCCTCCCCACATGCTCAACTGAATGCCAGCCCTGCCTGCAGCTCCCAGGAATTGCAAGGTACAGCCAGACAGAGCCACGAGCCATCTGTGACACTGCTTGTGCTTACGTGGTCCCTCCCCAGGGATGTTTCACAGCTGGGCAGGTTTCCAGTCAGTCCCAGGGTGACCTTCACAAGCTAAGGGAATTGGGCCAATCCTTTAGGGCTAGAGTTTCCCCAGCTTCCAAGGTCTGCTCAGGCAGGGTCCTTGGAATCCCACCGGTAGTAGGGGTGAGGGGTTGTGAGATCATCGTGTGCCTCTGAGCCTTGGACCACAGCAGGAAAGGGGCAGGGGCAGCAACCACAGCCTCTCCCTGCATTTTGGGTGCCCAACACAAGGAATAGGTGAACGTGTCTATTGTCTGGGAGCCTGCGTGGAGCACCCCTGCCCTGGTTCCAGCCCCCAGCAGGGCGTGGGTCTGGGCACAGGCAGCCCCCAGACCTGGCACGGTTGGACCAGAGACTTGAGGCAGAGCAGCTGTGGGCAGCTGATGGGGAGGAGATACAGATCTCCAAGCTGCATCCCTGCCAAGGTACCCACGTGTCCCATCTCCCATCCCTGCCCGCTGTCTCCACAGGACCCCTCTCACCAGCTTCACCGCCAGCTTGTACTTCTTCTCTTCTGTTGTTGTGTTGGCTGGGGCAGGTGGAGCAGTGGTTTGGTTCCCTGCAGTGGTTTCACCGTGCATGGTGGTTTCATTGCCTGCAGTGTTCTGGTTGTCCCCAGCAGTTTCGTTGCTCGCAGAGGTCTCGTTGCCCCCAGTGGTCTCGTTGCCCCCAGTGGTCTCGTTGCCCCCAGCAGTCTGGTTGGTCTCAAAGATGTCCAGGATGACAGGGTTGTCTTTGTCGTGCTCGTCGATGAGGACCAGGGGGATCTGGTTCCAGAGCCGCAGGTCCAGTGGTGGGGACACGTCCTCGCTGATGTTCCCTGGCGTGGGCTGCAGGATCCGCTCCAGCGCTGCCTCGATGAGCCTGTCCAGCTCCTTCAGCAGGGGCTTCACCTCCGAGTACCTGAGGGACAAGGAGCTGTGACCAGGCAGTGTCACGGCGCTGGGGACACGTGGCAGCTCACCTGGCTTGGACCTTCCTGGGGACCTCAGATTGCTGCCTGGAATTTACTGGAGAGCAGTGGGAGCTTCCCTGCTGAGCACGGCCAGCTTGGCCAGTGGCATCTCAGAGAGCTGCAGCCAGGCAGAAAAGCAGCAAGAGGGTAGAAACAGGCAGTGTTGCAGAGGTGAATCTGCCAGCATAGGGTTGAATTGATTTTAGTTCAGTAATTCACTACAGTTTACACAGGTAGAGAAAAAACTACCCAAAAGCAATTCCTGTGTTGGCTAAGAGCATCCTGCCTTGGGCTGCACTGTTGAGTGGATCTGAATTTAAAGCAACTCTAAATTTAAAGCAATACTAAAAAAAATCAGTGACTTCTTTGAAATCACAACTGAACTCACTGCAGCTCCTGGCAGACATGACTGTGTAACTAGCTCTTAATGACTGGAGTGTGAGCAATAAGAAGAACATTCACAATGAGGAAGGGGAAGGAAAAGAATTGTGGGGAAAGATTGAAAGACTGATTTTAGCTGTGGCAGGTGAGCTAAACTTGTTTTTTTTAATGAGCTGAGGAAAGTTTGCAGGGAGGTAAAAACATTCATTATATTGACTGGTATGGTACAGAAATTTTGCTAGGAAGAAATTCTCAGCTGTGAGGATGGTGAGGCCCTGGCACAGGTTGCCCAGAGAAGCTGTGGCTGCCCCATCCCTGGAAGTGTCCAAGGCCAGGTTGGACGGGGCTTGGAGCACCCTAGGATAGTAGAACATGTTCCTGCTTGTGGTAGGGGGTGGAACAAGAAGAGCTTTGAGGTGCCTTACCACCCAAACCATTCTAGGATTCTTTGAAAGCCAGGAGAATGTAGGCAGATGAACCCTCCTCTGGCCCCGAGCCATTTGCCTTTGTATTGTTCTTCTTTATTTGTTTTTTAGTGCCACTTGGTGAGTCAATTGATGCTCCTAAGGAGACATCTGAGACAGGACCAGGCCTGCAGTACTGGCAGTGTATCTGAGGGGTTAGAGCACAGATGGGCACGTTTGGGTGAATCAAAGCTTACTTGAAAGGGTTGGCATTGCAGACAGTGACTGCGGGGAACTTCATCGTCTTAAAACCGATGGAGAGAGATGAGGTGACATTGTAGGACAAGTAGGTGTTGATGAGGATCCCCCACTGCCAGAACACCAGGGATGCAAAGAGCAACGTTAGGAAGAACCAGATGAATTTCTTCTTGGGCCCCTCCTTGATGATGCGCTTGGGGCCGTGGGTGTTGGTGTTGTCGCAGTACCAGACCAGCAGCTCCTTGTAGGTGTAGCCAGGGCCCTTCTGCAGGCGGTGCAGTGCCCGGACCAGGTACTTCTTCAGGTTCATGCTGCTGCCTGCCAACAGAGGAAAAGGCTTCAAGCCAGCTCTGTGGAGGAGCAGGGCTGTGCCACACCAGGTGCACCGGTACTGTCAGCACAGCAGAAGTGGGACAGTCCCTGTGGTGTCATGGCCCTGGTTTAGAACCCAGGAGAAACTCAGTGTGGACGTTCCACAGGGTCACACCTTGGCAGCAATAAGTGCCCCAGCCTCCTGGGAGGAGCTGTGGCATTGATAGCTCCAAATGTGGCAAATGCTGGTGTCCCTGCTGGCCCCAGCAGAGCTGACTGACCGGAACCTGCAGGATATGTCTGTGCCTGGTGACTCCCAAGTATTGCAATGCCTGACCAGAGGCTGCTCAGGGAGTAGGAATGCTGTGTTCACACTGACACAGCTGGAACACCAGCCCCAGCCTCAGCCAACACTAGGTGGACCAAGCAGTACACGCAGGAGCTGTCTTGGGCAGAGCTCAGGTTCATAGCATTCAGCCTTCAACCTCACAAGGGGCTTGAGGCAATTTTTCTTAAAGGTAAGAAGTATTAGGGTGTACCCAGCACTTGGAGGGGCAGCAGAAGGGGAGCTGGAAGCAGCAGCACCTTTCCCAGGACCAGGAATGCTGTCCAGGGCTGCTGCCTACCAGAGGAAGGACAGTGGATTGTTTTCTTCCACCAAATTCCTTTTCTGCCAGATACTATCAGTATGACCCGACCCCCCCTGCCAGGTGAGGGATGCCGCATACTTGACATTCATTTTGTGAGTAAATAGAACATTTTGTGCTGCTATTTTAAGGTGAGAATCTGTGTTACTAAATCTTAACATCCTGAGGCATGATTTCAAAATGAACCTGAGGCGGCTACTCAGAACATTTTTCAGATTTAAGCTGCAAGAGAGCAGAGGTAAAGATTAATGCTGGGAATAGTCCCCCTCCCAGAAGGAAGAGTGCCGGAATAACCAGCGATGGTTCACTCAGGAGCAGCACTGACAGCAGGAACCAGGGTGACACGGCGTTACTTGCAGGTGAACAAAGGTACAGAAGGCAGTGAAGGGTGCACAGAGGCCCCTCGAGTGGAAGCAGCTGGGTGCTTTGTATTTCCAGAAAAAAAGGTAACACTGATTCCTCGGTCTATTGGCCAGATCTACAAGATCTCCTGAGTAGCATATACAGAATTTGATAGCAGTTTAAAATCCAATAGATTTCTGAAGTCTCACTCCATGAGCTAAAGAGAGATGATGGTTTTCACTGCATCCCTATCAACTATGACGTTATATGTAGGTGACACCTTAATGGGGGAGGACTTCCAAAAAAACCAAACCCCAGCTGTTTCCTCTAAGATCTGAGGGCAGGCTCTACTCCCACAGGAAAGGATTTTGTTCTCCAAGCAACATGTGTCCTGGGACTTGGACCCCTGGACTCCCACCATCAGCAGCTCATCCTCTGTCACCTTGTGCCACAGTGGTTCCCTCTGCCATTGCTCGAGGGGAATTCGCTCACGGAAGGAGCTGATATTGCACCAGACCCTGGCTGGGTTTTGGGCAGGGATATGAGGAGAACAGGAACCACAACCTCAGCCTCTGCCAAATTCCCAGCAGCTGTTGTGCCTGAGCCCCTGCAGTGTGAGCTCAGCCCCTTCCTCGGCTGTGCAGAACAGAATTGTCAGAGCTCACTGAAATGCAGGGAGTCTGAGGAGGCAGACAAGGAAATATTTTCCAGCTTTGAAGAAATCCAATAAAACATTTTGATTAGATTGAAATTACAACCTCCCCTGCCCCATGTGGGGCAGGATCCACCCAGCTGATCCCAGCTGGCCACGTGCCCTTGGCTGTCCCTGTTGTCACCAACTATGGGCCCAGCCAGAGCCTGGGCTCCTGCCACGGGGGGACCCCCACTTGTGGACAGGTCTCTGTGGGTTACTCATCAACCTGCCACTGCTGGGAGGAGCTATTATTTCTTTTGATATTGGATAAAAGAAATGGTACAAAGCAAAAGCTGCACTTGACTGTACCTGGAGTAGTTTTGTTCAATGTAATTTCTCACTTCAACAGTTTTCTTCTTACCTTTATTTCCAGAGTGTTTCCACACAGACTTCTTGTTCCCTTCTCAGAGCTGGAAGCTGCTCCAGGTGAGCTGCCCAAGCCCCTGTTATGTGGGGGCTCCTTCTCCTGCACAGCACTCAGTGCTCGGGGGCCAGAGCTGCTCACAGTGAGGTTGGTGCCAGATTTGGTGCCAGCTTGGAGCAGGTCCTGCTCTGCTCCATCAGTGGGCTGTGCCTGAGCAGAGAAGTAACAAATGAGGCACAACAAGACCCACCCTCCATCAGTGCACAGACAACTGTCACCCTTCCCAAAGCCCCTCCAGAAGGTGGGAGCAGAGCAGTGGTGGAGCAGGGTCTGAGCAAGGCTGGGGGCTCAGGAGATGCCACCCCCTTGATGGACTCACAGCCCTGAATCCTTTGTAGGTGGCTCAGGGGAATCAGCACATGCTTCCCATCCAGTCCAGGCTGCCCTGGTCACACCAGGGTCATCTGCAGTGACTGTTGGAAGCTGACCCCAGGGACACGAGACCCTGCGGCGCACAAGGTGCCGAGGGTCCCTGTCCTGGCACCACCCACACCCCGTTATGACAGAAGCCATCCTAAGATAAACCTGCTCCTGGTTCCAGTGGGGTTCCTCTGGATGTGGATGTGTCCTCCCTGTCCCCAGCAGCCAAATCCAGCCCTGCCTCAACCCAGGATCATCCCACCTGAAACTCCTCCACCTCACTGTGAGATCAGACTCCCACATTACGAAACAATTGTGGTGACTGTGTTGAATCTCCTCGGGGATTTTCCCGGGGCAATTCCCTCTTAAAAGAAATAAAGGCATAAGCAAACCTCGGCACAGTCCTGGAAGCTCCAGGGTGGGAGCTGGGCTGCAAAACCACCCCAACACTACCAGCCTGATGCCTCTGTGATTGCTCAGCACTTTCTCTGCTGGGACACACAGCATCATCCCTCTGTGATTACCAGCTGTTCACCTGACATCTTCCCCCCGAGCCTGAGGGAAAGGCCTTGTTTTCCTCGAGAAGACATTCATGCTCTCTAGTGGTAATTTTTGCAAATTAGAGGAATTTCTTTTTATTACCTCACAAGTTTACAGGTTGACAGTTTGAAAAGTGGAGCAGTAACACATCAGCAAGCAATGAAAGCCCATCCCCAGGTGGAGTTGCAGCTCCAGCAGATGCTCTGCCCTGCTGGTGGTGTGCAGGGACAGCGGCCACAGCACATGGCTCCAGTGCCACGGGCAATCCACGCAGGCGCCTCCGCGTCTCCAACCCCAACAGGCACCAGTACAGCACTCCAGGAGTATTTACAGTCCTGGGAGCTTAGATAGCACTTGCCTGACTCTGTGCCATGTGTTGGACACTCTGTCCCCTCTTCCCCTGCCTTAGCCTGTGTTTCCCTCTGCCCTGGAGACAGGCTGGGAGAGCTGAGTGTTCAGCCTGGAGAAGAGAAGGCTACGGAGAAATTTGGAACCCCTTCCAGTGCCTAAACAGGCTCCAAGAGAGCTGGAGAGGGACTTTGGACAAGGGCCTGAAGCAACAGGACAAGGGGGAATGGCTTCCCACTGACAGAGAGCTGGGTTAGATGGGATATTGGGAAGAAACCCCTCCCCTGTGAGGGTGGGCAGGCCCTGGCACAGGTTGCCCAGAGAAGCTGTGGCTGCCCCATCCCTGGAAGTGTCCAAAGCCAGGTTGGACAGAGTTTGGAGCAACCTGGGATAATGAAAAGTGTCCCTGCCCATGGCAGGGGGTGGAACAAGGTGACCCCTAAAATCCTTTCCAAGCAAAACCATTCCATGATTCTACTGTTCCCGTGATGCCCCTCTCTCCTAGGACAATGACAAACCAGGCTCCTCACATGCCAGGAGGGTCATGTTGCTGAGAGTTAACTCTGCTGCTTGGGCAAGGAACAATAGGAATCCTGGATTCCTATTAGAGGAGCAAACCTCCACCCACCCCAAACAGCTCCCTCCACCAGCATGCCAAGAGCATACTCTACCTCACTGGGAGACACCATCCTGGGGGAGATGGCACATTCCCAACACCAAACCAAACACTGAACTATTCCACAAAGCTGTGGTCTCTTCCCATCCCCTTTTATCAAGGAGATTAAAGAACCCCCCTGTGTAAATACAGGTTAAATCTGAACGACTCCCCCTGGCTGCATGCCGGCTACATCCCAGATACCTGCCCGGCACGAAAACCTGCCCCACTGCTGCAAAACCAGGCAGAGATCGGGTGACTTCAGGTGTGTATCAGTGTAAAAGACACCATGACCATCCCCGTCGCGCCGGTCCCTTCGGCCCCGAGACGCGGCCGAGGGATGCCGGCAGCCAGCGAGAGATGCCCGCGGGTATCCCTCGGCGATGACTCGGGGCCGAAGGGACCGGCCAGGACCGACCCCGCACCCCCTCTGCTGTCCCCCCCGCAGTCTGTCCCGGTCCCCCCGTACCTGCCCCCGCGGCTCCGGCAGAGCTCCCGCTGAGACCGGCACCGGCCACGCCGCTCCCCCGGCCCGCCCCGGCCCGCCCCGGCCGGGCGGCTGAACCCGCCCTCCCACCGCCTGCACTCGCTCCCAGGTTAGTCCTGGCTCCTCGAAATCTTGCTTGGATTGTCTCCTAACACATCCCAAGGAACGGCAGCTGATCCTGCTGCTCCTACTCCTGTCGTACCAATACCACCCGACACCGGCAGCTTGGGATCAATGGCACAAACCTCACAGAATCCCAGAATGATTCAGGTTGGAAGGGATTTCAAGGGTCACCTTGTTCCACCCCCTGCCATGGGCAGGGACACCTCCCGCCAACCCAGGTTGCTCCAAGCCCCGTCCAACCTGGCCTTGGACACTTCCAGGGATAGAGCAGCGACAGCTTCTCTGGGCAACCTGTGCCAGGGCCTCCCCACCCTCATAGGGGAGGAATTTCTTCCCAAGATCCTCTCTACCTTGCTCTCTGTCAGTGTGAAGCCATTCCCCCTTGTCCTGTCATTCCAGGCCCTTGTCCAAAGTCCCTCTTCAGCTCTTGGAGCCCATTTAGGCACTGGAAAGGACTCTCAGGTCTGGTGGCCACTGCCCTGCAGCAGATCACAGTGTCTGGTTTGAGGTGTCCCTGGTGCCAGGACATCACCTTGCTGCTTTACCTTCCCTGGTGTCAACTGTCCCCGCTGCCAGGTTTTTGACACCCGATCTCTGCCTGGTTTTGCAGCAGTGGGGCAGGTTTTCGTGCCGGGCAGGTATTTGGGATGTAGCCGGCATGCAGCCAGGGGTAGTCATTCAGATTTAACCTGTATTTACACAGGGGGGTTCTTTAATCTCCTTGATAAAAGGGGATGGGAAGAGACCACAGCTTTGTGGAATAGTTCAGTGTTTGGTTTGGTGTTGGAAATGTGCCATCTCCCCCAGGATGGTGTCTCCCAGTGAGGTAGAGTATGCTCTTGGCATGCTGGTGGAGGGAGCTGTTTGGGGTGGGTGGAGGTTTGCTCCTCTAATAGGAATCCAGGATTCCTATTGTTCCTTGCCCAAGCAGCAGAGTTAATTAATCCATCATGGGTGTTGGAGAGACATAACCCCCCCCTTTATTTTCTGTATTTTCCTACCCCAGGGCCAGCCTGCCTTGTGCCTGCTTTGGTCCTTGCAGCCCAGCATCACTGCACAAACACATTTGGAGATAAAACCTTGAGCATCTGGAGAGATAGAACAGTGAACACACAGAACACAGAACAGTGAAGTGGGAACCTCCTCAGAACCATAAATCACCCCTGAGAGCAGAGCATTGTACACAGCAGCGATACCCTCTTGGGAGAAAAGATAATTGCAGGTTCTTGTTCAGTCAGGACTTGGTCAGACTTTCCCAAATGTCCTTGTGTTCTGTTATTTGGGAACAAAGGGGAGTTTTATTTTTAACTGCCACAAGTGTACCTTGTGTCATTATGTCAGGAGGGGAATGTGGGATTGTGTTCGAGCGGTGTCTCCAACAAGGGAAGCTGGAACAAACAGGTTTGATGGACCAGGACTTACCCGGTTCCTCTGTCCTGTCACAGTAATTGCCCTCCTATCGCTACTGATTTCCCAAAGAACAATGTCTGTTACCAGCTCTGGCTGCTCCAGCACTGGAAATAGTGCATTTGTTCTGGGCTTTGGAACATCAGCTGCAGAGCCAGCAAAGCCAAATGACCTTGAGTTTGGCTTGACTTTCTGTTGTCTCTTGCTTGTTTATGAGAAAGTTTATTTCATAAGCAAAAACCTACTGCTGAAAATACAGCTGAAACCCCGTGGGAAGCTCCCCTGCACCCCAGGCATTGTGTTCACAGCAGGATGTTGTGCTGGTGTGATGCACTGCTGACAGCAGCTAAATACAGCTGGGACACCAGATCCAGGGGGAAAATCAGCCCTGAAAGTGGTTCTATTTGCCTGATCAAAACACCAACTCCTCCTAAACTTGTCTGAAGGAAGGGAAATATTTTCATGGTGGCTGCAGTGGATACAAAGGCAGGAGGAATTTTTCTGGGATGCTGTTAGGTCTGGATGTACTGATGAAGAAGAACAGAGCCCAAGGGCAGCTCTGCATGGAGGAAATCACCCCAAATCCCAGCCCAGGGGGTGGGAATGAGTTCAGGTCCATGGGAAAAACACAGGACTCATTCACATCTGGCTCTTCATAAACTTGTGTTGGTTTTGGCCACATTATGCCCTTTAGCACAGTGGGGGCTGAGGCCCCAGAGGGGCTCCCAGACCAGCGGCCAGAGCTGAGGTCACTCCTCGGTGTGCATGGATTCCCTGAGGATTTGGAAAGGCTCTTTAGCCCCGGGAGCAGAAGTGGCACTGGGGTTTTGCTGCCCCCGAGCTCTGCAGGCAGCCTGTCCCAGGTGGCCCCTCTCCCATCTGGGGAGCCCTGCCCACAGCTCACAGTCACAGTGCCAGCGTGCCTGCACCTGCCAATTAGCTCGTCACTGAGCAGGAGCTGCGAGGTGAGCGTGGTAAATATTAGTCACGGCTGCAGCCTGGCTTCCTGTCGGACAGCTCCTGGGGTCTGGGCAGCCCTCCTGCCAGCAGGCACGGGCAGGAGTGTGCCAGGCCCCAGCAGTGCCCATCGGTCCCCATCAGTGCCCAGCAGAGCCCAGCAGTGCCTGGTGGTGCCCATCACTTGCCACCAGTCCCTGCTGGGGAGCCGCTCTGTGCCGAGGCACCCGGGCATCACCCGGCCCCGAGCAGTCAGCATGGGCTCACAGCACGGCGAGTGCCAGCTTTACCAAGTGCACTTCCAGAGAATTCACCAAACAAAATCGAGTCACTGAGCTGTGACCAGTAAAATCCCAGTGGAGTGACAGTGAGCATCTCGCAGCCACCCCGCGCTGGGAGCCGCTGTGTCAGACCTGTGAACTGACCTGTGTTTGCGTTACAAAGATCAGGCAGTAAAACCCAGACTGGTTTTGTTTTACAAGCAGCAGAAGAAGGGAGGGATGGGGCCCAGCTCCTGCTCACTTGGCACAGCTCGGGGAGCCACGGTGAGGGGCTCACCCCGTGCCAGGGTCAGGCACCAGGCTCTGGTGCTGTCACCCTGTGTGGCTCTGACAGGCAAGCTGTGCCTCCAGGGTGGGAAGGATGGGACAAACCCCACTGGGGCCCAGCCCCCTCAGCCCCAGTGTGGTGACATTGGGCACTGAGTCCCAGCTCACCCCTGGGTGACATAGGGCAGGCTTTTGATG